AGCTTAGAATTCATGGTCACCAATCTCCTGGGCCCTTCAACAGTGTGGAGAACATGGGTGTGAGTGGTTCTCCTGTAGTCATCTCTGTCTCCACAAGACCAGTTCTAGCCTTCTCTATGCTGAACTCCAAACTCCCCTGCTTCCTCTCTCACTGTCTACCCCACAGAGCAAAGTCTTCAGAACGTAATTCATTCACATCCCCCTACTAGATGCCTATTTCTTTTTTCAGTTTCAGTAGTCTGGCAAAATGACCAAACTCTACCAAGATTAGAGGAAAATTTAGGAATCAGAGATCTAGCTCAGAATAATTCACAGCTAGGCTGGGCTTGGGCTTAGCGGTAGAGCGCTCGCCTAGCACGGGTGAGGCCCAGGTTCGATCCTCAGCATCACATAAATAAATAAATAAATAAAGGCATTGTGTATCTATCTACACCTAAAAAATAAATATTAAAATTAATTCACAGCTATGGGTTGAATGTGTCCCTCAAAATTCATGTGTTGGGGGGCTGGGATTATAGCTCAGTGGTAGAGTGCTTACCTAGCATGGGTTTAATTCTCAGCACCACATATAATAAATAAAATAAAGGTCCACTGACAACTAAAAAGATATATATTTTTTGAAATTCATATGTTGGTGCTGGACATGTTGGACCATGCCTGTAATCTCAGAAACTTGGAAGGCTGAGGCAGGAGGATTGAATGTTTGAGGCCAGACTGGGCAATTTAATGAGACTCAGTCTCAAAAAATAAAAATATAAAAGAAGGAGCTGGGGATGTAACTCAATGGTAGAACACTGTACCAGTCTTGGATTCAATTGCCAGTACCAATAACTAACTAATTAACCAAATATTTAAAAATTAATGTATTGGAAACTTAATCCCCAATATGACAGTTGAGAGGTGGAACCTTTCAGAGTCAATTAGGTCATGGGGCACCATCCTCATAAATAGATTAAGGTTGTTATTGTGGGAGCAGTTTATTTATAAAAGGGGAGCTAAGCCCCTTTTTTCTCCTTTATTCTCTTTTTCTTTCTCTCTTGCCATGTGATGCATTTCACCATGTTATGAAGCAGCAAGAAGACCCTCTCTAGATGCAGCCCCTTGATCTTGGACTTCCCAAGCTCCAGAACAGTGAGCCAAATAAACTTCTGTTGTTTATAATTTACCCACCCAGTTGTAAGTATTTTGCTGAAATTCTTCATAGTCAAGATGGAAGCATTTAATTTTTTTTTGTATTTATTTTTCAGTTGTAGTTGGACACAATACCTTTATTTTATTTATTTATTTTTATGTGGTGCTAAGGATCAAACCCAGGGCCACGCACATGATAGGGGAGCACTCTACTGCTGAGCCACAACCCCCGCCCCTAATCATTTTCATTTAATTGTTTTCATGAAAGAAGAAAAAAAAAATGCCGGCCAGGCATTGTAATCCCAGTAGTTTGGGAGGCTGAGGGAGGAGGATTGTGTGTACAAAGTTCAAAGCCAGCCTCAGGAATTTATTGAGGCCCTAAGTACCTCAGTGAGACCCTGTCTCTAAGTAAATTTTTTTTTAATACTTATTTTTTAGTTTTCAGCAGACACAACATCTTTGTTGGTATGTGGTGCTGAGGATCGAACCCAGGCTGCTCGCATGCCAGGCGAGCGCGCTACCGCTTGAGCCACATCCTGAGCCCTAAGTAAAATTTTTTGAAATGAGCTGGGGATATGGCTCAGTGGTGAAGTTCCCAGTTTAAAAAGGAAAAAAAAAAAAAAAAAAAGCCCAGGAGGAAAAGGAAAGAAAATTCCTTTTTGGAACCAAAAGCCTAGGGAATCTTTACCATTTTTCAGGGAATAGGGAAAAATTCTGTCAATAGGAGGAAATTATGCTTTTTTATGACTGGAAGGTTGGGAGAAATTTAGTTCTATGGTGATGAGGTGAATCTGCCCTTTGGTAACTGAAAAGTGAAATGGCTATAGCCACTGCTGATAGAAAGGGATGGAACAGAAGGGAAACACCTACGATTGGGAGGACAAGAGCCCCAACCCCATCTTCCTGGGAATCCACAAGGACAACCAAGCACAGAATGACTCTACTGACCTTCCAGCTGGAATTTGCTGCCAGGAGGAAAATGGCCTGGAACCTCTCTCACATCAGGAAGGATGGAAAGTCTCATGGGGGCAGAGCTGGGACTTAAGTTTGGAGGAGCTTGAACAGGAAATCAGCAGAAGAACCAGAGAAGATTCAAGAGCACAAGGAGGGAGGGTCCACATGCCAAGAAGGATCCTCTGCTTTAAAATGCTGGGTTTAGGGCTGAAGATGTAGCTCAGAGCTAGAGCACTTGCTTAGCATGCATAAGGCCCTGGGTTCAGTCCCCAGCACCACACACACACAAAATCAGAGGTTAAGCACTCTGGGTTTTAATCCCTGGTACCCCCCAAAATAAATCATTAAATGTTTTTTAAAAATGATGAGCCAGGGGCTGGGGCTGGGGCTCAGAGGAGCACACTTGCCTAGCATGTGTGAGGTTCTCAGCATGGGTTCAATTCTCAGCACCATGTATAAATAAATAAAAATAAAGGTCTACCAACTATTAAAAAATATTTTTAAAAAAATGACGAGCCAGGGGCTGTGGCGCACGCCTGTAATCCCAGTGGCTCCAGAGGCTGAGGCAGGAAGATGGCGAGTTCAAAACCAGCCTCAGCAAAAGTGAGACAATAAGCAATTCAGTGAAATCCTCTCTAAATGTAATACAAAATAGAGCTGGAGATGTGACTCAGTGGTCGAGTGCCCCTGAGTTCAATCCCTGGTACTCCCCTGAAGAATGTTGAGCTGGGTGCAGCATCGCCTGCCTGTAATCCTGGAGTTCAGGAGGCCGAGGAAGGAGGATCACGGGTTCAAAGCCAGCCTCAGCTGGCCCTAAGCAACTTAGTGAGACCATTTCTAGGTAAAACATTTAAAAGGGCTAGATGTGGCTCAGTGGTTAAGTGCCTCTGGGTTCAGTCCCCGGTACTAAAAAAAAAAAAAAAAAAAAAAGATTCATTTCCAATTCTTTCATGAGGCAGAGCCCAGGACTGCTTCACTCCCTAGAGTGTGCAATCCAAGAGAAAGTGAGAGAAGCCTCCAAGACAAAACTCATCATCTTTTTATGAATTAGTCTTGGAGGTAACAAGTTGTACTGTTTTTTTTTTGCAGTACTGGGACATTGAACCCAGGGGCACTCGACCATTGACAAGCTCTCACTTTCTGTATTCTGTTCCTTGGAAGTGAATCGATATATCCAGCCATACTGAGAGAGAGGGAGTTAGACAAAGATGTGAATACGAACAGGCAGAGATCACTGGGCGTCATTATCGAGGCTGTCTACCACAAGGAGAACATATCCACCTCTTTACCTTTTCCTTCCATGGCCAGGCAGTAAAGAGTTGGTGGCTGGAATTCAAACAGCCATCTTGTACAATGAGCAATCTTGGAAATGGAGGATATGAAGGATACCGCGAAAGAATCCAACAGGCCAGAGTTCCTGATATTGTGGAGAGCTATTCCCTCCATGGACCATTTAGCGAAAGAAGAACTCCTATCTTAAGGATTGCAAGTTCAAGACCAGACTCAGCAACTTAGTGAGGCCCTAACAACTTACCAAAATAAAAAAATAAAAAAAGAGTGGGGATGTGGCTCAGTGGTTAAGCACCCCTGGGTTCAATCCCTAGTACCAAACAAACAAATAAAAAATACCCTTCAGGCTCCTAGCCTTTCCTTTAGATTCAGCCCCACACTGTTCCGTGTTCCCTCATCCTGGATGCATCCTCTCTCCCTTCAGCTATCTCCCCAGGAGAGGATCGTTCATTTACCTGTGACCAGGAGGGAAGACCAACAAGGCCTAAAATACTTGCTATCTTGCCCTTTACAGAAAAAGCTTGCAGACTCCTCCTCCTAGAGGAGGCAGGACAGGAGGGACAGGGAGTACAGAAGGAGACAGAGGTGCCAGTCAGGCTGGTGAGACCATAAATGGTTAAACAGAGTGCTGGTGGGACCACAGCTCTCAGGGAAAGCCGCACTCCTAAGGGGAGTTGGAGAAACATGGACAAGATTCAGGGGAAGCAGAGGGGAAGCAGGAAAACTAGACAGAACATTAGAGATTAAAATTTGGGGAGGGACGAGGTCCTCATGACCCTGGTGAAGGTTCAGACTGGAACTCATGGTCCACAACCATCAGCATCAGTCCCTGGTCTCTTTTCCTTGTACTGCCTGCCCCATAGGAGGGTGCGATGCCAGGGTTCTTGGTGTGCATGCTGGAATGGCAGGGATGACATGCGCACAGCCTCAAAAGAGGAGACTGAAGGGGAATAGTGAAGAGCAAGAGAGGGGGCTGCAGAGTGAGCGAGGCAAAGAGGTAGGAGGAGACCAGGAGCCTCAGCTCCTATGGGGCAGTCAGGTTGAGCCAGGTTCCAGTGAGAACAAGTAGGCAGATGGGCTGGGGATGTTGCTCAGTGGTACAGCGCTTGCCTAGCAGACATGAGGCCCTGTTACAGCCCCAGCACTACAAGAGTAAAAAATTTAAAAAATAAATAAATATATATATAAGAGAGGGAGAATTGGTGGAGAAAATAGTGACTGTTTAGGCTGAGAGGCTTTGTCATGGAATGGGGGAACAAAAGACTTAGGAGAAAAAGGAAGGAGGAGGTGTGGAGGGCAAAGGAATTCAAACTAGACTGAGGTCCAACAAAGCAAAGAAGGCCAGATACTGCAGCTGGTTTCCACTCTAAGAACAGTAACATAAAATGGTCCCCTTTAGAGCATCACAGTGATCAATATAAGCCAGGAACAACGGTGCTTGTCTATAATACCAGCACTTGGGAGGCTGGGGCAGGAGGATCTCATGTATAAGGCCAGCTGGGCAAATTACCATGACCCTTTCTCAAAGAAAAAGAAAAAAAAAATGGTAACTAGCTACTAGAAATACATGAAAGAATTAGGATCAAAAAGAAAATAAAGAAAGAAAGAAAGACACCAAGAATTTCTTTCTTTCTCAAGTAAAAATCCTGAGGTAGGTGGTCCAGGGCAGTATCAGGAATCCCAATCTGTTGTCAGGGACAGGGGCTCCTCTTATCCCCTTATTCGGTGTTGTACATCTTCTTTTTCCAAGGTGCCTCAAGCTTCAGGATCTAGTAGCCATCACCTCTCTTTTCAAGCCAGGAGAAAAGAGAGAGAAAGAGAGGAGACAAGCCCCTCCTTGGAATGACCACCCCCAGAAGCTGCCCACCATTGCTCATCCATTTGCCAGAACTTGGTTTCATGGCTACACCTTGCTGTAAGGCAGCCAGGGAACCAAATTTCATTCTGAGTGGCCATGTGCACAACGAAGTTTTATAGCACAAATGGAAAACATACACTGGTGAACAATGTTCTCTGAACATTTCAGCCATATTTCTATATATAGGAAAAATGACCATATATCCCAATCTGCCTGGGACAGTCCCAGTTTACACTGTTATCCCAAATAATTATTAAATATGTTCCATTTTGCTGAAAAGGGGAAAAAGAGGAAAAGAGTCTGGCAATTCCTCAAAAAGTTAAATACAGATTTACCATATAATCCAGCAATTTTACTCCTTGATAGTAATAAAAAACTGAATTAGAGACTCAAACAAATACTTGCACATCCATGTTCATAGCAGTGTTGCTTGAGTAGCCAAAATGCAGAAACATCCTATGTGTCCTAAGATTATTAGATTAATAAAATGTGGGATTATAGATACAATGAAATATTAGTCAGTGATGCTACAATGGGGACAAACTTGAAAACATTATGATAAGTAAAAGAACCTGACACAAAAAGACAAATATTATTTAACTTCACTTATATAAGGTACCTAGATTTTGCAAATGCATAAAGACAAAGTAGAGTAACAGCAACCAGGGTCTAGGGGAGAGATGAATGGGAGTTACTATTAAATAATACAGAATCTCTATTTGGAATGATGAAAAAGTTTTGGAAATGGATAGTGAAAGTAGTATCACAAAAATGTGAAAATACTTGGTATCACTGAACTACAACTTGAAAGGAATTAAAATGGAGACTGGCATGGTGATACATACCTGTAATCCTAGCTATTGAGGCAGGAGGATAGCAAATTCGAGGTCAGACTGGCCAACATATCAAGAACCCGCCTTGAGAAGAAAAAGGTTAAAATGGTCAATTTTGTTATGTATGTTTAACTGAAAAAAGGTTTGAAGGATTTACCCAAGAGAAAAGAAAGCCTATTTGTCCACACAAATACTTTAGTGGTAAAGAACTTGCCTAGCATGTGTGAGGCCCTGGGTTCCAGCTCCAGCAGGGCTAAATAAACATGGCATCCTCTGAAGAGGGACAGGGAAGATTCCCCTCTATGGCAGTAGAACTGCTTCTTGAGTATACCATTCAGATAGCCCCTCCTTCTGCACTCTGGGAGGTTCTTCCTTTTCCATTATTCTCCTGTAGATAGAGGTAGGCAGCAGAGAGAGAGCTCTGGAACTCAGGGCCCCACTTGCTAAGCAAATGCTGTACTTCTGAGCTAAACCCCCTGCCCCCAGACATACGTTTTAAAATCTAAATGCTTTGTTCTGCAAATGAGTCTGTGCTGAGCCTAAGGACAACCTCTTTCAGTGCTTCTGAGTCAGGGGTAGGAAGGTGGCATCCTTAATGCCCACATCAGCCATCTTTGCCTCCAGGCTCATAGCCTCTGGGAGAAGTTAGACTCATCTAGTGCCAAGACTTTACTCCCAAACCACTCCTTATAGTTGTTTACATTTATTTATGTATTTCAGTGTTGAAGATCACAGGGATCACACAGGGCCTCACACATGCTAGGCAAGCACCCTACCATTGAGCTACACCTCCCTACCCCCTTAAATTTTTATTGTTGTTTTTGCTGCTGGGGATGTAACCCACAGCCAGGCATGCATTATGCCTCTGAGTGACACCCCCAGCCCATTGCTCAAATTTGCAATTTGCAATACCAAAAGAGGTGTTTGTTTTTAGCCCTGAAAATCTGCATGTTGTAGGATTCTTGGGCAACTTGCATTGGAAACTAACTGCCACTATATCCTTTCTATCTTTGCCGCAGGCTGGCACCCTTCAACCTGAATCTTTCTCTTGCAAGACTCTTTTTTTTTTTTTTTTTTTTTGATGAGAAGAGGACTGAACCCAGGGGTGCTTAACCACTGAGGCACAGCCCTTTTATTTTTTCTTTTGAGATGGCCTTACTATGTTGCTGAGGGCCTTGCTAAATTGCTGAGGCCAATTTTGAATTTGAGATTCTCTTGCCTCAGCCTCCTGAGTTGCTGGGATTACAGGAATGAACCACCACATCTGGTTTGGGGGTCCAAATACCATAGGCAACTGCAACACAATTTTAAGTATTTGTGTATCTAAGCATATCTAAACACAGAAAAGGGGGCTGGGGCCTTGGCTCAGTGGCAGAGTGCTTGCCTAGCATGTATAAGCACTGGATTCAATCCTTAGCACCGTATGAAAACAAAAATAATAAATTAATAATTTAAAAAACATAGAAAAGGCACAGTGAAATTTACAGTATAAAAAAACAAAGAAATAACACTTACCATGGAAGGAGTTGCCACTGCTGGGGAGGTAGCTCAGTGATAGTTTTCAAGCTGCACTTGTGACCCTTTAGTGTGTTGTGAAGTCAAAAGGGTCAAAAATAACATTACTTTGAATGACTTAGAATAGAATAAAAAATACCAGATGTACACAGGCAGGAATAGAAGCTGTGTTCCACTAAGTTATCTGCTCACATTGCTTCCAGCAACCTGCTCTGCCCTCCTGTGCCAATGGGTAGACTTCATCCTTCAGTTCCTGTGTGCTACCTGAAGAAATTCAGGCAAAGAGATAAAGAAGAAGCAGGAGCAGGGTACACAACAGTCTCTTATTTCCTGTTCAGGCAGCTGTGGCAAAACACATCTCCTTATATCCCACCAGCAAAAGCTTAGACCATTGTCATATCTAGTATTATTGTCATTGTGGGTTACCGTGTGTCCATCTCAAAGTTACGTAACAAGTTTGGTAGGGGAGCGAGAAATGGAGAAAGGATATCAAATATAAGGCAAGACATTTCTGAGGACTGCATTGTTAGGTGATGTCACCATAATGTAAACATCACAGAGTACACCTACACAGACCGAGGTGGTGCAGCCTGCTACACACCTAGGCTAGGGGGAGGGCCTGTTGCTCCTGGGTTACACACCTGTGTGGCACTATACTCCACTGAATACCGCAGGCAACTGCAACACAATCACACCTATGTATGTAAGCTTATCTAAGATAGAAAAGGCACAGTAAAAATTAAAGTATAAAAAGTAAAGAAATAACTAGGCACCATGGCATGCGCCTATAATCCCAGTGTCTCATGAGGCTGAAACACAAGATTGCAAGTTCAAAGCCAGCCTCAGCAACTTAGCAAAGCTGTAAGCAATTTAGTGAGACACTATCTCAAAATAAAAAGTGCTGGAGATGTGGCTCAGAGGTTAAGCACCCCTGGGTTCAATCCCTAGTACCAAAAACAAATAAAAAGCAAAGAAACAGTACACTTGTATAAACACTTACCACAAAAGGAGTTACCACTGCTGGGGATGTAGTTCATGGTAGAGCTACAAGAGGCCCTGGGTTCCAGCACCGAAAAAAAGAAAGAAATGAAAAGAAAGGAGTTTGCAGGACTGGAAGTTGCTCTGAGTAAGAGGAGAGTGAGCGGTGAATGTGAAAGTCTAGACATTAGCATGCACTGCTGTAGATTACAACACTGAACACTTGGGCTACTGTAAACTCATTTAAAAAAAGTTTTTTCTTAGAAAAATTCTCTTTGATTCTTTCTTTTTCGGTACCTGAGATTGAACCCAGGGGTGCTTAACCACTGAGCCACATCCCCAGCACTTTTTACTTTTCATTTTGAGACAGGGTATAAATAAGTTGCTTAGAGTCTTGCTAAATTGCTGAGGATGGCCTGGAACTTGCAACCCTCCTGCCTAAGTCTCCTAAATCACTGGGATTATCAGAGTGAGCCGTGGTACTGGATTGGCACCCTCTTCAGAAGTATGTCCACAGTGAGAGAGAGAGAGAGAGAGAGAGAGTGTGTGTGTGTGTAAATTTTAAACTATTTTGTATCCTAATTCAATCATGTTGTAAGCATTTTTCTAGTTATTCAGACTAAAATTTTAATAGATATTACATTTTATCTTATGAATCTAAAATATCTTTATCCATTTTTCTTCTCAAATATTTAAGCTATTTTTTCCATTATAAATACTTGTCCAGAACAATTAGAAGGAGGAGGAGGAGGAGGAGAAGGAGGAGGAAAAGAAACTAGAAAATAGAGGGTTGGGGGCCAATCTTAGCAGTAGAGTCCTTGTCCAGCATGCATGAGATGCCAGGTTTGATCATTAGCATCAACAAAATGAAATAAAACAAAGAACTGGGAAAGAAAAAGAGCAAACTAAACCCAAAGCAAAAAGAAGGAAGGAGAGCTGGCTACAGCGGCACACTTCTGTAATTCCAGCTACTCAGAAGGCTGAGGCAGACATGAATTGGTGTGAACATACTTTATATACAAACAGGGATATGAAAAATTGCATTCTATATGTGTAATAAAAATTGTGATGCATTCTGCTGTCATGTATTTAAAAAATAAAAGCAATAAAAAAAAAAAAAAGAAGGCTGAGGCAGAAGGATGACAAGTTCAAGGTCAGCCTGGGCAATTTAGTGAGCTCCCTAGGAGTTAAAAAAAAAAAAAAAAAAGGCAGAAGAGACTAGATCAGAAATAAACAAACTAAGAATATAAAAAGAACAGAGAAAACCAACAAACCACCAGTTGATCCTATGAAAAAATTGACACAAGTGATAAACTTTTCCTTAAATTCATTAACAAAAGAGGACAGAAGATGCAGATTACTAAAATCAGAAGTCAAAGAAGGTGTTAGGTACAGTGGAACACACCTGTAATCCCAGTGCAGAAGGATCCCAACTTCAAGGCCAGCCTGAGCAATTAAGTAAGACACTGTCTCAAAACAAAATTTTAAAAGGGCTGGGATGTAGCTCAGTGGTAGAATGTCTGTGGGTTCAGTCCTCAGTTCTGGCAAAAGAGAGAAAGAGAGAGAGAGAGAGAGAGAGA